TTGCAAGATTCTGTGACTCATGGCATCACAACAAACGCACCTCCGCTTCCTTCTAAGTGCACATGTGTTGTGTGTGTATATATAGCTCTACTCCGCTCGGAGTGTAACTTGCTGCAGCGATTTCTTCGTGCTCAGAGAACTGCTTGAGCAGATTTCTTCCATTTTCAAGCCAGGGGCCAGTTCAGGTTTGTGGTGAATCTCTTGCTCCCTCTCGTGGTCATGCCGGGGCATGTCGGCTGCAAGAGGAACTTCCTTCTGGACTGGCCCGCTCGGGCACCCCCAGCAGTGAGGATGCTAGCTTCAGGGTCTTTTGCTGTTTGCTGCAGTGTTAGCCCCCAGAGTGCAGTGAGACTGTAACCTACCGGCCCACCTTTTGTCCTGCTCCAAAGGCCCTTCCAGCAACGCCAGAAAGAACAAGGTATGCACGTGGCAAAATTTTATCCAGTGCCTGCTACGTGCTAGGCATGAGAGTGAAAAGAGGCAGTTCATGTAAAGTGTCGTTTCTGCCGCTGCTATTTTGTGTTAAAATATTAACATCTTAATACTAAGACAAGAGTAAAACATTGTGATTAAGAGCTCAGCGCTGGAGCAACACTGGTTCAGATTCCACACTGGCATGCTGTTGAACTTCAGGCAAGTCACTTCACTTCTTCAGGCTTCAGCTTGCTTATCTGCAAAATGGAGCTGACTAGAGTCCCCATCTCATAGGTTATACTACAGAGTACTGTCTGGCAGTACTTTATCTTAATCATTTAATGCATTATAAAGGTTCTAATTTCACTCTAGAATGGTTGCTCAAACCCTCCTTCCTGTCGGGCAATTCATAGATCATATTAAACTTCTTCTTTTGTTGTTGTTTAGTCGCTCAGCCGTGTCTGACTCTTTGCGACCCCATGGACTGCAGCATGCCAGGCTTCCCTGTCCTTCACCATCTCCTGGAGTTTGCTCAAACTCACATCCATTGAATCGGTGATGCCATCCAACCATTTCATCCTCTGTCGTCCCCTTCTCCTCCTGCCCTCAATCTTTCCCAGCATCAGAGTCTTTTCCAGTGAGTTGGCTCTTTGCATCAGGTGGACAAAGTATTGGAGCTTCAGCATCAGTCCTTCCAATGAACATTCAGGGTTGATTTCCTTTAGGATTGGCTAGTTTGATCTCCTTGCTGTCCAAGGGACTCTCAAGAGGCTTCTCCAGCACCACAATTTGAAAACATCAGTTCTTCAGTGCTCAGCCTTCTTTGGGGCCCAACTTTCACATCCGTAATGAGTGCTGGAAAAGCCATAATTAGGGATAAGGGAACCCACACTGGACATGGCCTCATTTCTGGGAGGGGCCCTCTGAGAGAGTGAAGGGGGTCAGTTCAAGGGCAGAGTGAATTGGACCCCCAAGAAGACACAGCTGGTGGTGAGATGACAAGACAACGTGGCCTCTAGTGTACTTGTGAGAGTGTCAGCGGACACACAGAGGATGCAGGAGAATGTCCAGTGACTGGACCGCCAGACGTTCTCCTGAGCCTGTACAAGTGTGCCTGCCTGGCCCGGCCCAGTGGCTCCTGCTTAGCAGGGCAGTAAATGCTCCGGCCTGGGTTTCCACAAACTCTACCTGGTACTGCTTCTGTGACCTGGGATGGCTTCCCCAACCTCCTGAGCCTTCACTTGACCCAAATATTAAATGTGGAAAATTCTTAGGGTTTCATGCGACATCGGGGAGGTAGAAGGCTTAGTGCAGGGCCAGTCGTCCTGCAAGGGCACAGCGGTGGGAGAGTCACCCGTGTGAGGATGGGGAGGGTGAGAGTCACATCCCACCGTCCAGCTCCACGTCCAGGAGGCGGGAACCCTGGGACCTCGGGTCCAGCTCATGACGTGGTAGAGACAGAAGCCATCCGCGTTGTCCTGGGGTCGCCAGGGAGGCGAGGGGCTTAGCTCAGTCTCCCAGGTTTTCCACTTTCTTCCTTCTGATTTCACCCATGCAAATCAAGTCCAGTCCCTGGGACAAGAGAGAGGGGATAGGGTGGAGGGAACGAAGCCAAGGTACCTGGATGGTGTAAACATCTCAGATCACCCACCTTCACGACCAGGGTCTTCGCTCAGAAGGAGCCATCACCTGATGGCCATGACTTCCAGAGAGCGCGCCTTCCATCCGCATCCCTGGGGAGCAAGCCTGGCACTCGGGAGCTTTACACGCATCTGTAGCCATCTCCTAGGGACAGAAAACTAAGGTTTTGCTTTATTCAGACTTTAACGGCATGTGTTCATCCCTGTTTTCCTCATGGTCCTATGATATATAAATTTCATTCAGCCACCAGGCTCTCCCCATCCTTACCCTGGACAATTTCATTTTGCTATTAGCTCTCTCTCTACATTCGGGACTTACTGGGTAATGATTGTGTCATTTGCTCCTTACTTTCAGTGTTTTTTTCCTTTCTCCTTCTACATAATGATATCTTATTACTTGTGATTTAATTGTTCTCTGAAATCCTAATTATATTAGTAATTTAAGGGAAAAGAATATTATATTTTTATGATTTTCAGGAGCAGTTCTATTTAAAGAATTCTTTGCTGAATCAGAGCCCTAATTATTAATGAATAAACATCTATTTTACTTTAGCAAGTTTTTTTTGTATTCATGAAACAGAGTCAATGGCTTAAGCTTTGCCTGAAATGTGCCTTGAAGAACTCAGATCTGTTTTATTCAGAAGATCTCAGGAGTGTTCCCTGTCACAGAACAGCATAAACAGCTTTGTTCAACTAGGTAGGAGCTGGTCCCCAGTCATCTTTGATCCTTGTCAGGGATCGTTTGAGATGCTGGGATGGAAAACAGCCTCTGCCATCAGCGAATCTCCTCGAGAATCCAGAAGGGCTGGCATGGCCCTGCAGGCAGATGAATGAGGGCAAGGGATGAGTGTCTGGAGAGGGGAGGTGGGTGCTCGCCCCCCACCCATTGACCCCCTCCCCTCACCAGGGAGCTGCCATCGGAGCCTCCAGACAAACAATTCCTCCCTGCATTCAGGGACCTCATATGGCCTGGTGGAGGCAGATATATAAGCAAATAATTACAGAAGCAGTTCTATTTCAAGAATTTATTAATAAAGGTTAATAGACCAGTGACTACTTTGAAAGAATGGCAGAAGTTTCTATTAAAACTGGCGTCAGAACTGAGTCTTAACGATCTTGTGGGATTTCAGGAAGAGGAAAGAGCATACACAGACAATTGTGGTATGCAATTGAGTGGTGTGTCTGTGGTCCCGCAAGTTCCAAGGAGGAAGTGGACAAGAATGAGGAGGAGAGAGGTACACAGAAGCCAGGCCATCAACAGTCTTATAGGATGTGCTAAGGAGGGTGATGTTTACTCAGGAGGCCAAGGAAAACCAATGTGGTTGAGGAAGAGGGTAAGAATATTAAGAACAAGTGATTCAGGAATGATTTGGAAATGCCCTGGCTATCCATGGTTAGGACTCCCCACCTCCACTGCAGTAGGTATGGGTTCAATCTCTGGTCAGAGAACTAAGATCCTGCAAGTCAAATGGTGCAGGCAAGAAAAAGGGGGGAAAGAAAGAAAAAGAAATGCTTCAGCAGTGATTAGAATACAGTCAATATGAATTCAATAGTAAATTATAGGATCGAGTTTGGGGCTTAATAACCAGTAAGACAACTTGGATTCACTGCAATCAGCTGTCACTCAGGATAGGCAATTTTCCATTTAAACTCTGCATTTCTTACCAGTCATCCCACTTTCCACCAAGGAGCAATACCTTTCGGTTCAGAGAACCTAGTTGACTGATTCCCAGCCAGGGACCCATGAGTGCGATAATAGGAGTCTATGAGCCAATTAATAGTTGAATAAACACCAACCAGTTATACATATACCTGCAGTAAGGCTGCACAGATGCAATAAAATGCTATGCTTCTCTGCTTTCTCCAGGAATTATATCAAGTTGTTGTAGCAACTGGTTATCTTAGGCAGCTTAGCTATTCAGGGCATCATGAAATGTCTTGATGAAATATTGTTTTAAAACATGAGTCCATGTTGAGGGGTAGGGTATTGTAATTAAAAAGACTTCTGATTCTGAAAAGTCTAGACATCCAGATTAGGTGATGAGTGTGTTATGTTTGAAACATAAAGAACTTAGGTAGCTAATTGAGCAGGATTCTGCAGAAATAATTTATGAAGCCAATTTTCATAAATTTCTATACAAGTGTACATTTCCTTAGAGAGAATTGAGTTTTGTGGCATATCTGCATCTCCAAAATGCATATACCTATATAAAAGACCATTTTGACAACATTTATATTTTATACGGTGGTTAACACCACCCTATATCTTGGACCACTGGCGGGGGCGGGGGTTGTCACATGAGAAGGGTAGAATTGCATTTTGACTTTTGATTTTAATTCAGGGTTTCAGTGGACTTTTAAAAGGTGTAAGAATTAGTATTAATATTTAGTCTTTTTTGTAGTGGGTTTCCCTGGTGGCTCAGTGGTAAAGAATCCGCCTGCCAGTGCAGGAGACGCAGGTTCAGTCTCTCGGTTGGGAAGATCCCCTGGAGGAGGAGATGGCAACCCACGCCAGTATTCTTGCCTGGAGACTCCCATGGACAGAGGAGCCTGGAGGGCTGCAGTCCAAAGAGTTGGACGTGACTTAGCGACTAAACAACTATTGTTTTGTAATGTGTTTTTCTACCTTCTGGCAACCCACTCCAGTATTCTTGCCTGGAAAATCCCATGGAAGGAGGAACCTGGCAGGCTGCAGTCCATGGGGTCACAAAGAGTCGGACACGACTGAGCGACTTCACTTCACTTTCTACCCTCAGGGTGTGCTTCACAGGAGATAGTTCACATAACCTCAGGCTTTCCTGTTACATTTCTGCAGGTGCAAGAACCTAAAATAACTTCATGCATGACTTTCTTCCCCTACCATTTCCTCTGTATACTAGTGAGCTGTTTGGGTAACTTCTTTTAGTGAAGTTACAAAGATTAATATGTAATATGTTGCTCTTACAGAATAATGAAGTTTCATGTTGCAAAACGGAAGTTTAAGGAAACACTGCGCCCATACGATGTAAAAGATGTCATCGAACAGTACTCCGCTGGTCACCTGGACATGCTGTGTAGGATTAAAAGCCTGCAGACACGGTGAGCACCTGGAAGGTCACGTGTTCTAAGGGGGCAGGCGCAGAAAATGTCTGGGGTCACCTCTCCATAGTAGCCAAGATTCCTGAATTTCTTCTTTCTGACTCGTTCTAAGGGGGCAGGCGCAGAAAGTGTCTGGCGTCACCTCTCCATAGTAGCCAAGATTCTTGAATTCCTTGTTTCTGACTCGTTCTTGGTGGACAACCGGACTTCTGTGTTAAAATATAGACTCTATTTAAATATAAATCAGGCACTAAAAACCTTTAAGTATGGGTAGTGTCTAGTGTCTCATCTGTGGAAACGGTGTTGGCGGTGGCCGCAGACGCCCATTGTGGGACCGCGTGGGTTAAAGCAGCGGCCTGCGTGCTTATGCAACGGTCAAGGTGGCTGCTGATGTCATTTTGCTATTGCCTGAATCCTATGTATCCTTCAGAAATAAGCTAGTCTTTCTCCTTCTTAAGCCTGACCCACCGTCCAGCCTACAAAGACAGACCTCTCCCTCCTCTGATCCCGTGTGGCATGCAGAGGCCCCTGCAGGGCGCCATCATGCCCCTCACGCTGGGATCCTGCACTCAAGAGTCCAGGCAGAGAACCCGAGGTTCTCAGAGCAGGGCTGGCTCCTGCATTGCTTCCCGGGGGCACGTCTGTTCCCCTGGCCCTGAACCAAGCCTGGGCCCGTCCCTTCATCCCTGTTCTGCAACAGGCTGGATACACACCATCTTTCCAGTGAGCATCCTCTTGAGTGGCTGGAAGAAATGAGTATGTTACTCTAAACGTGTGCTTGATTGTGTTATCTTGAAGCCAAAATATTTAGTCAGTTCAATTTGTCTTGCTTCATAACCAGGCCCAAATTACCAGCCTGGTAATGAAAGAGTTCTTAAAACACAGGGACTGAGTCTTCAACACGTGTTCATACACACGGCATACTTAGCACAGTGTCAGGCGTATACTAGCCCCTCAGTAAAACACCTGTTGGCTTCTAAAACCTAAGTTATGAAAATAACAAGTTTTTCATTTATTCATTAACGTACCGGGCACCCTGGACACCCAGAGATGAACAGATAAGCCAGTCCTGGTGGAGCTTGCATTGGAGTAGATTAAACATCATGGTGGCCTGTACTTTTGTGCGCACAGAGTAAGCTGGAAAGTGGAGTCAGTATTCCTGATAATTCAGCTCTAAAACACACAAAAAGGAAGAAATTAATTCCAACATAGACTGATTAAGTCTCCTTGGAAGTTGTTTTAACTCACCTGTGATCCTCTTACAACCTCTGCCCAAGTGGCCAAGGTCTTCCAAGTCTTTACTAGTACTCCCAGTGGGTTTTTTGTTTGTTTGCTTGCTTGCTTTGTTCTATTTTTTTTAATTTTTTAACTTTTTATTTGATGTTGGAGTATAAACAGTTAACAATGTTGTGATAGTTTCAAGTGGAGAGCAGAGGAACTCAGCCATACATATACATGTATCCATTCTCCCCCAAACTGCCCTTCCATCCAGACTGTTTTTATTTTTTTCTTCTTAACTTTTTAAGTTTTAATTTTTGTTTTTTTATTACAAATATAATTTGTTTTATGTTTCTTCATAGGGATAGGGTCACTAGTTAAAATACACTGTCAAATCTGCACTTTAAATTCCATATTGCAATTGTAGAAATAGTTTATATAAATGGCATCCATAAATCATTTAAAGCAAAGGTTGAATGTAAATTAGGATCCTGTTATTTATTTCTATGATTATTTATGGTTTTCTGGTAAAGTTTTATTTATCTGAGGGTGAAGGAATTAATGTTTTTGAATGTGAAATATCTTTAAACTTAAAATTGATACCTTCCATAAATCAGCTGACCAGGAGAGAGTGCCAAAGCATTACAAACAGCAGCGTTTCCACTTAACATATGTTTGCTCAATGTTTTTTTTATTGTTTGTTTTTATTGAAATATATTTAATTTACCATGTTGCATTAGTTCCGGGTATGCCGCACAGTGATTCACTTATACATGCATATACATCTACTGTTTTCAGATTCTTTTCCTTTATGCATGTGTGCTAAGTCATTTCAGTCATATCCAACTCTTTATGACCTTATGGACCATAGCCCACCAGGCTCCTCTGTCCATGGGATTCTCCAGACAAGAATACTGGAGTCGGTTGTCATGCTCTCCTCCGGGGGATCTTCCTGACCCAGGGGATCGAACCCACATCTCTTACATCTCCTGCATTGGCAGACAGTTTTTATCTGGGAAGCCTCTTTTCCCTTATAGGTTGTTACAAAATATTGAGTATAGTTGCCTCCCAATGTTTCTATAGAGTTCCACCGCTACAGAATTTGCAGAGCTAATCTGAGTTTCTCACTTACGTGGTGTATATATACTCTTCAACTAGAATCCCCAGGACGGAGCTCTCTCATCTCCACATATCAGATATATAATAAATGTTCACTTAAATGACCTGTTCCACTCAGTTCAGTTCAGTCACTTAGTCGTGTCCAACTCTTTGTGACCCTATGGACTGCAGCACGCCAGGCCTCCCTGTCCATCACCAACTCCCGGCTTACTCAAACTCACGTCCATTGAGTTGGTGATGCCATCCAACCATCTCATCCTCTGTCATCCCTTTTTCCTCCTGCCTTCAATCTTTCCCAGCATCAGGGTCTTTTCCAATGAGTCAGTTCTTTACATCAGATGACCAAAGTATTGGAGCTTCAGCTTCAACATTAGTCCTTCCAATGAATATTCAGGACTGATTTCCTTTAGGATGGACTGGTTTGCTCTCCTTGCAGTCGAAGGGACTCTCAAGAGTCTTCTCCAATATCACAGTTCAAAAGCATTAATTCTTTGGTACTCAGCTTTCCTTATAGTTCAGCTCTCACATCCATACATGACTACTGGAAAAACCATACCTTTGACAAATGGACCTTTGTTGGAAAAGTAATGTCTCTGCTTTTTAATAGGCTGTCTAAGTTGGTCATAGCTTTTCTCCCAAGAAGCAAGTGTCTTTCAATTTCATGGCTGCAGTCACCATCTGCAGTGATCGTGGAGCCCAAAAAATAAAGTCTCTCACTGTTTTCATTGTTTCCCCATCTATTTGCCATGAATTGTTGGGACTGTATGCCATGATCTTAGTTTTTTGAATGTTGAGTTTTAAGTCAACTTTTTCACTCTTCTCTTTCACTTTCATCAAGAGGCTCTTTAGTTCTTCTTCACTTTCTCCCATAAGGGTGGTGTCATCTGTATATCTGAAGTTATTGATATTTCTCCCAGCAATCTTGATTCCAGCTTGTGCTTATCCAGCCCAGTGTTTCTCATGATGTACTCTGCATATAAGTTAAATAAGCAGGGTGACAATATGCAGCCTTGACATACTCCTTTCCCGATTTGAAACCCATGAGTTGTTTCATGTCCGATTCTAAACTGTTGCTTCCTGACCTGCATACAGGTTTCTCAGGAGGCAGGTAAGGTGGTCTGGTATTCCCATCTCTTTCAGAATTTTCCAGTTTGTTGTGATCCACATGGTCAAAGGCTTTGGCGTAGTCAATAAAGCCCAATGTTCTGTTCTACTAACATGAAATAATTATGATTTTGTTATATTTTAAGTGACTGAATTCAGGAAATGCCTGATCAGAGGTGGAAACAGACAAATTACTTTGTAAGTTAGGACAAGTTTGCCAGAAGCTCAGTCATAATAGATTTCATCGTGGACTAGAATAATGAGAAAATTAACCTTGTGTGATTTTCACATGAAGAAAATAAGTACCTCAACTGGAAGAAGTTCATTTTATTTCTTCTTATGTAGATCAGAGATAATTGCATTTTTCTTTCCAAAACACTTCCTCTGGCTTAGGGCAGCCTCCACCTTTCACACTCATAACCGGATCTCTCTTTCTGATAGTGTGGATCAAATTCTTGGAAAAGGACAAATCACGTCAGACAAGAAGAGCAGAGAGAAAATAACCGCAGAACACGAGGCCGCAGATGACCTCAGTATGCTCGGCCGGGTGGTCAAAGTTGAAAAACAGGTACAACTCAACTAAACTGCCTATGTTTTTAGGCAGACTTTTTTTCCAGTTTACTGCAATATAATTGACGTATATCCCTGTATAACTTTAAAGCATATAACATAACGGTCTGACCTACACGTACTGTGAATGATGACCACAGGAAGCTTAGTCAGCATGCATCATCTCACAGAGACACAACATAAAGAAAAGCAAAGAAAAAAAATTATTTTCCTTGTGACGAGAACTCTTAGAATCTGCTCTCTTAACGCCTTTCTTGTGCACCACACGGCAGTATTAACTATAGTTATCACTTTGTGCGTCACATCCCAGCACTCGTTTTTCCATAACTAGAACCTTGAGCTTCCCAACCACCCTCCTCTGATTTCCCTCCCTCCAGCCCCTGCCTCTTGCAACAAGTCTAATCTTTTTTCCTATGTGTTTGGGAATTTTTCTTTTTTTTTTTTTGTATTTTGTTTTAGGTATATTAACTGGGGTCATCCAGTATTCATTCACCTTTCTCTGTGTGATTTATTTGACATAGCGTAATGCCCTCAGGGTCCATCCATGTTGCTGCTAATGGCAGGATTTCCTCGGGTTTTTTTTTTTTTTTTAATGGCTGAATAATATTCTATTGTATATACATGTGCACCACAACTTATTTATCCATTCATCTGCCATAGACACTTGTTTCCATGTTTTGGCTGTTGTAAGTGGTGCCTCTATGAACACAGGGTGCAGATATCTTTTTGAGTTAATTTCTTGTTTCCTCTGGGTATGTGGCCAAGAATGGAATTGCTGCATCATGTGGTGGCTCTATTCTTAATTTTTTTAAGGAATCTCCATATTGTTCTCCATAGTGGTTGCACCAATTTACCCTCCCACCAACAGTGAGGCAGGGTCCCCTTCTCTCCATATCCTCTCCAGCATTGTTATCTCTTGTCTTTTTGATGACAGCCATTCTAATAGGAGTGAAGTAGCCAGAATATTTTTTAATCAAAATTGATTATAAGCAATTGGGTGTATTTTAGTGATTGATTTTAAAAGGAATAAAATCAAGAAAGAGCAAATAAATTTTCTTCATGCATAGACCATGTTCTCCAAAACACTTGAATTTCTGTGTAAGGAATAGAAAATTTCCTCTCATCAATTAATACTTGAACTTCAAACAACTATGGATTTCAACAGTAGAATAATAAAGTCTATTTTTTTAAATTTGTATTTTGGTTATTTTCATTCTCTCTTTTGGGTCATTCTTAAAAACAAACAAACAAACCACACATTTTAACTGGTGACAGACTGAATATTTGTTGACCCTGAGAGTGAGTATCTTCTCATACAAAGACAATTTTTGGAAGTCAAAATGCTCCTCTGATTTAATTATAAACATGCCAAGCATTTGATACCTGTATTTAAAATTTAGAATTGCCTAGATTGACCTAGGGTTGGGGTGGGGGGCGGGGAATTGTATTGTGTTTTGTTTTTTGTGTTTTGGGTTTTTTTTTGCTGGGTGGAATGGATAGATCTTAGCTCCCAGACCAGGGAGCCAACCTGTGTCCCCTGCAGTGGAAGCGCAGAGTCCTAACCACTGGACCGCTAGGGGAGTCCCCATATCTAGGTCTTGATTTCTTACAGAATCAGCTCCCTGCTGCAGAGTAGAGTCCGGGAATGTCCTCATGGAAGGGGCTGAGGAAGGGCAACCTGATGGCCAGGGGGATCTGAAGTTGCCTTTGTAAAGGGGCTTATATGGTCTTCGAAAACATCAAGTTTAAAGAATGGGGAGGAGAATGGTTCTGGTGAAAACGAGGCAAAGGCCAGAGCATCCGCCCCCAAGACCTCCCTTCCCATCCCTTCTGCTGGACCCTGCGTCCCAAGCGGGTCCTGAGTCAAGGCCGCGAAATGCCAGACACTCGGGACCTGCCGAGGGGTTGCAGCCTAACTTCACTCCTTAAACTCTTGTGAACAGATGCCCGTTTTCCGCTTTCAGGTCCAGTCCATCGAGGCCAAGCTGGACTGCCTGCTGGACATCTACCAGCAGGTGCTGCGGAAAGGCTCCGCTCCGACCCTCGCGCTGGCCCCCTTCCCGAGCCCGCCCTTCGAATGTGAACAGACGTCGGACTACCAGAGCCCGGGCGACTCCCGGGACCTCTCGGGCCCGGCGCCGGGCGGCGGCCTCCCGCGCTCTGCCAGCGCGGGCCTGGCGACGCCGGCGCCCCGGAGGCGCTCCCCGAGCTCAGCGCCCGCCTGGCGGGCGCCAAGGACCGCCTCCCGGCCAAGGAGCGCGCCCTGCGCCAGAGCCTGGACCTGGGCGGAGCGGCCCTGCTGTCGGTCCGGCCCGCGGTGCCCCAGGACCCGGGCCGCTCGGTGTCGGCGCAGAACCTGGCCCGGTCCACCGAGGACCTGGACGTGCAGCTGTCGGGGAGCGAGTCCAGCGGCTCCAGGGGCAGCCAGGAGTTTTACCCCAAGTGGCGGGAATCCAAGTTGTTTATCAGTGATGAAGAGGCGGCGGGTCCGGAGGACGCCGGGACGGACGCCTTGGACGCGGTGCCGCCGGCCCGGGAGCCCGCCCCGGCGCCGGACTCTCTCAGGACTGGACGGTCGCGATCATCTCAGAGCTCGTGTCCGGCGGCGGGGGGCGCCGATGCCCTGGGCCGGCCACACGTGAGGCTGAAATGAGGCTTCCGATTGCCCCCCACCCCGGGGCCCGGCCGCCCCTTAGCCATACACACCGCTGCATGAACTCTCTGGAAAGCCCTTCTCAAAGGTTGAACCCACAAAAATCAGGAAGAACATGAAAGGCAGTTCCTAAGCCCGTTATCTTTCAATTGCATGAAAATGCATGTTTAGGGGATGCTGAACTCCAGGGTACGACATTGCCCCTCACTCAGTAAGGTACCTTGAGTTAAGAATCCCGAGACACCGACCCTGCTCATGCTGCGGGGGGGTGGGTGTGAAACGTCAAGGTCAGGTCCATTAGAAGATCCAACTCTGTGTTTTGAAATGATGGCTGTCGACGCCTTCAAATGTCAGGCATTTCTGCTGGTGATAAAACGCAGAATTCATTTTCAAAATTCGGCCATAATGTACACGTGACACAGTGACCGTCATCAACAGCTGCTAACAAGGTACCCGTAACACAGAATCGGGGTATCAGACACGGCTGCCTGTTCAAGATGTAGATGCCAACCTGTCCTACCCAGCCATTTTATCATTAATGTAATTTGAATGTCAATCTGTGTGCTTTTGGTGACTTAACGCTGTGGCCAGCAATTTTGCACATCATTTTCATGTTTTGTTTGTTTTGTTTTGTTTTTTAAAGACGAGAATGTTCTTCAGTTAGAAAATGTGCAAATAATGAAATTCAGGGCCAGTGGGGTGAATAGGCTGACTCTTTGACATCTTTGACTTCATGGAAATAAATTCCCTGACGGCTCTATCAGCTGCTACGCAATCAACCGAGTCCCAAGGAGTGGATGGTACGTGGGGCTGGGCTGACCCGTGTGCAGTGGCCCTGCCCAGGCCTGCAAGCCGCCTACAGAAGGCCAGTGTGAGGGGTTCTTCCCACTATGCTGATAGCCAGGCAGGCTCTCCGGGAGGAGACATGAGACGGAGATGGGAATGGCTCAGAAAGAATCCTAACACCGGGAAATCAGTGATGCTCAAGAAAACATCCTCCCTGCTCCAGGGTGATGAGAGGGAGGGAAACAAACCAAAAGAAAAGAACTTGATTTTTTTTAGAAAACAAATATTGTTAGGGAATTCAACTACCTAAACACCCCTTATTCTTATATATGAGCAGAGAGTTTTGCAAGGTATTTATTTTTTAATATGCCCTGAATGTGTTTTGCTATTATGTCATACATTTTGCATATGAAAGGCTAAAACTAAACCTCCTTTACTTTTTATACTGTAGTGGACATTTTCTATTCTCCCCAAGAATGTTGCCCGCCCCCGCTCTGAAAAATGATTGATTCAGTTTCCTGGTACAAGCTCATATAGTCAGAAGCCAGGTAACCCTGGCAGGGTCTGCAAATCAAAACACTGAATAATAGAGCATGGTGGCTAAAAAGCCCAAGGGAAACAAATTAAGAAATATCTCTACCAGAAAGCAAGCCAAGCTGACCACTTGTTAGCAGTCAGACTGGCGACCTCAGACCGTCAGAATTTCAGCCAAGGTAACAGCACCCCAAGGGCCAGGGGAAGTGAGAAAGCAGGTGGATTAAACTCCAGCCACAGGAAGACTTAGAAAGAGTTTTCTCCTCGGCTGATATTGCTGCCTCCAGGATAACTTTTCCAGCAGCCAGGGGATGGACCAGGGCTGTCAACAGCTGCCCAAGGCGGGACGAGGCCCTGACGCCTGCCAAGTCCCTCCCAAACTCTTCCCCAGCCTGCTTTCTCCACCTCAGACCCCCTGTCTTTCTCCTCCGCAGGCTGTGGACTCCCTGCCTCCCTTCACCAGCCTCCCTCCCCCAAGAAAGCGACTTTTCCACTCCACCTCCTATACACAGTTCAACCCTTGTCCTTTTCTGATAAGCACTGAAATTTGGAAGGCTTCCTCCTCTCATCCCACCTGGATCCTCGCACATGCCCCTGGCGTGCATTCTTCAGGGTCTGCTTGGCTGCTGGAGACATGTACACTCCGGTTTGAAAGATGTTCTCAAACTCTTTAAGCCACTGTTTTTATTTTCAAAACATAAAATTTTAGTCAATTATTAGATGCAGCGTTTCATCTACCCATGTCTCCGAATTTGTGATCCATCTTCCCAAGGAGGTTGTTCATGAGAACACAGATACACACACACACCCCTCCACTGATCCAAAGCCAGACACACACACACACACACACACACACACACACACACCCCACCATGCCCAGTAGGCCGTCTCCAGGTATCACTTGAAGAAGAGGAAGGAACTTTCAGGTAGCAATGAGTCTCAGACACGCTCTGTCCGGGTCAAACCCCACTGGCAGCAGGAACTCTGAATGTATCAAGGACCCCACCTTAGGCCCCGTTAGGCCTCAGACACAGTCCAATCCATCTGGCATCGCTGAAGATGGAAGATTCAGAAACAAACCCAAACCGGTCACCAAGGGTTCATCACAGCCCAGCGTGGTAACCATGCTGGGAGGAGCTTTCACACGCCCAAGCCATGACCGTTCTGTGTCTGTCTGACTGCAGCACAAAACTTCTTGGATGTCAAAAGCCAGCTGTATTGTGTGAAGCTGTAGGGCTGTGTCTGCTGTGTTCCTGTCGGGGGAGCTGAGAGGGGTCTCTCCCTTACACTTAGCAAAGCCCCTTCCGTCAGGCCCAGGCAGTGTCTCGAAGCACAATTAGCTGAGTGCTGATCAGCCGCTGGCTTTCTCAGGCCTCGGCCATCTGCCGCCTTCGGTACATAGGGTTGATCAAGCTAGCGCTTCATGGCAAACATCCCCTCTACGAGGTTCACTAAAAAAATTTTTCTCCGTCTGATCTAAATGTTTGCATTTTGTTCAACTAAATTAACATCTGTAGATAGCAAGTTTTGTTTCAAGTAAGACACTCGATTGAGTTTTTCAGTCTTTCTCTCTTGTTCTAAGGTGCCTTTCTCACCTCCCCTTGATTCAGTGATTCTGAAAGTTCTTAATTTGCCAGAAAACAAGTCTCACAGAGAGGAGGAAATCAGGCACAAAGTGACTCATTCTCATGCTTGTATGCAAAGCAAAACTACAAGGAATCATGAAACTGAGCAACTAAATGAATAGGTCACTTCATCCAGATTGAGAAAATACCGTAAATGTTAACTTATCTCCCCAGAAGCTGATATTTTTTGCCTTAAAATGACATGGTTGTGTTTTTGTAAGAGAAACTTAATTTAATTATGTACATTTAAGTGAGCAGTTCTGGAAGTCACATATGACAATGCAGTTCTGTTTCCTGAAAACAAATAAATCAGGAATATTGTATCCATTTCAAGCTACCATTCAAATGTAATTTCCTTTGCTTTCTTTTACCGGGATTATTTGTTTTAAAGTACAACATTAAAAAGATGTCTATAAACAGTTAGTGTGACTACTTTCATCTGGTACCAACTGGTTGGTTCTGAACTGACTGGGTCCCAGTAGATCAAGCAGATTTGGAGTTGAAAATAAAAATAATCTTTTTTGCAGAATTCATGCTTTCAATGCAGGGGGCACAGTTTCGATCTCTGGTCAGGGAACTAAGATTCTCCATGCCTCATGGTACAGCCAAAAAAAAAATTATCTTTTCGCAATGTCAATGAAGAAATCATTGATACTCTGGGATGGGAAAGATTTGCAAATGTTGTTGAGGGTATCATAAGAAAAATTAATTTGATGTCATACTGAATATTTATTTTTGTATATTTTTATACATTTTTATTTGATACATCAAAGCAGATGCCAGCATATGTGAGCCCTGTGTTAACTATAATAAAAGGGTTTGCCAAACAAGTGATAAGAAGTGGGAACCAGCACGTGCCCAAATGCTGGACCCCCAGCTGCTCAGAATGGCCATTAACACCTATCCAGTGCTGCCCAGTGAGGGGGTGGAAAAGTGTTAGTCACTCAGTTGTGTCCGACTCTTTGCAAACCTATGGGCTGTATGTAGCCTGTCAGGCTTCTCTGCCCATGGAATTCTCCAGGCGAAAATACTGGAGTGAGTAGGTAGCCATTCCCTTCTCCAGGGGACTTCCTGGCCCAGGGATCAAACCTGGGTCTCCTGCATGGCAGGCAGAGTCTTTACTGTCTGAGCCCACCAAGGAAGCTGAGAGGGTGGGGGCTGGGTGAGGCACTCTCCAGAGGGATCTTACCCTTCTGCCCTAAAAAATAAAAAAAACAACCTCCTGTTCCACTGGCAGTTTTGCACTGTGTCCACGATGACTTCCAGTGGAATTATTTGAAAGGAGTCTCAGAATGTTGGGTGCTTCCCTGGTGGCTCAAGTGGTAAAGAATCGGCCTGCAATGTGGGAGACCTAGGTTCAGGTTTGATCCCTGGGTGGGGAAGATCCCCTGGAGAAGGAAACGGCAACTCACTCCGGTATTCTTGCCTGGATAATTCCATGGACAGAGGAGCCTGGCAGGCTAGAGTCCGTGGAGTTGCAAAGAGTCGGACACCACTGAGCAGCTGACACTTCTCAGAATGTTGGAACCCTGGATCACAAAGCAAGGAAGCACTAAGAAAGATGCTTTAGATGGAGGGAGGTGAGGGAAGGGGTAACACTTGAGGGGTCTCCCCCCCCCCACCTCATGGCTCCGACGGGCTCAGGCAGGTTCCTGCCTATTCCATCACCTTCTGGAGGTAAAATTTAGTAGTGAAACTAACAAGTAAACATGGAATGTGCTTGCATGACCAACTCAAAAATGTACACAGCTTCCACACACTTTCACACCTATTTTAAAGCATCTCTCACCCCAGCTTAAAAGCAAAATATACATACAATTACTCTACCCTCATCACTTGTACAAGTAGGTTCCCAGACCTTGAAGTGGTTACTTTCATCATCCTGGTTTTAACCACTTCAATTGCTTCTTTAATTTTTTTAAAAAAATTTAATTAATTAAAATAAGACTTCACCCTCTGGTTTACCTAACTCCAAGTTACTGATGCTTTCACTACATTTCAAAGCAAACTATAGGTGCATGCACTGCTCTGGAAGTCAAATAAATAAATAAATAGATAACTCAAAGGCATACTGGTGTGACATATATCTTCACCTGTTTCCACCACTTGCTTCATCCCTAGCATGGTTTTGTTGCCTAGTTCAAGTCCAGTGTGCTCTGGGGTAGGTAAGCCTCGGGGTCCAGGATTCCCACGCACGGTCACCTGCTTCCTCCTCTTCTCGCCTACTAGCTTTCTCCTCTTTTAGTGATGCTCATCTCTGTCCATCACTTGCTTCACCTTTCCTCTCCTTTGCCTTCAAGAGGGTGACTGCCTTCCTGCCCTGCCAACCCCTGCCCACCCTGTGACCCCAGGAACTGGGTGTTCACTCCTTCCCCTGGTGCAGCCCCCAAGTGGGCGGTGACAACCTCACACCAAATGCAGTCCAGATCAACAGATGCTCTTGAGCACTGGAACGTCCTCACCAAAGCCCTTGGGCCACGATCCAGCACCACCCCTCTTTTCAGGACTTGGGGTGGGGAGGCCTCTGCCGTTCCAGGATGGAAACGCGTGCCCGGTGAAGACTAGCTCTCGTGCTCTGGATCCCGACCCCTCTTTCGTCACGTCTGTGTCAGCTCCCTGTCAATTTTTTCCCCTGTAAACAGAAAGGAGCCTTCCCCAAACCAGCAAAGTCAAGAACTCACCTTCCTCTTCATCTCCACATCTCACCTTCCCTTTAGAACCAACAATCGATACATTGCGGAAGGTAATTCCATTTCCCAGCATCTGTCCCCCAGCCAGCAGGACAGTCAAACCACATCTGCCCAGCCCGCAGACAGCCAGCTCTGCCCTGGTCAGCATGACTGCCTAGCAGCACTTCCCTCTTGGCTTTTCTGGGGTGACCAGTGATGCAAACACTTCCTTCTTCTTAAAACTGCTCCCAAGTTTGTCTCTGATTCTGTGGGTCAGTCAGCCCGAGTCACTAGCCCAAGCTCCTTCTTCTCTTTGCTCCATAGTCAGGGTTCCCAGATCCCATCACCAGCCTCTCCCTTCTCTGCCCCCCACTCCCTCCCCAAGTGGTCCCATCCGTGACCTCCACTCCTAATGCAGGGACCCCATCCAACCTGGATCTCCTGCCCTGAGCATCAGCTCCGAGTGTCTCACTTGGGTCCAGAGTCACCTGCAATGCCCCAGACAAATCTTGGGTGGGGGGGGGTGCATCTCACAATATCCCCCAAGGTCCTCCCACCAGGCCCCACAAGCCGAGGTGCTCGAGAACCCTGAATAGACAAGAGTGTCCTGGTCTCTCTGCTTTCAGCCACTTCCAACCCCTATCATCAGAGGCCTTTCTCTCAAGAAGGGTGTGACCATCATCCTTCATTCACTCTGTGTCACAGGTTTGATCTGTCACTTCTCCCAAAGGTCTCTGGGCTTTTCCAAAGGGGAATCAAGAAGAAATTAATGAATGCCAAATAGTGAGTAATCATGTTTCTTCAGAACTGCGAGCAGCAGCCCCTCTCTTGTCCCTTCCCCCAGGCCTCAGCATCCTTCCCCTCTGTCCCTCCCGCCTTCCCCAGCAAGTGGGCTCAGATCCTATAGGTGGTACCCAGATCTGGCTTGGCCCTTTCACCAGGAGGCCTGACTGCTCACATGTCCCTGTGAGTTCCAAGGAGAAAAGGGAGTTTCAACTCCCTTCCCCAGCCCCTGAACCCCATAAAAACCACATTCCTGCTTCCCACTTCTCTTTATATCCCACCAATGCTAAGCACACAGCCAGAACTGGCCTCCAGTCTTGGGATTCCAGACTTTAAATAGCAACTCATGTACACACAACTGTAAACAAAATAAAAGAAAACAAAGACATACTGTGTAGCATAGGGATCTCTGTTCAATATGCTATAATAACCTACTGTGAAAAAGTCTATATATATATACTCCATATATTATATAAACGGAGTCACATTGCTGTACACTTGCAAACTAACATAACATTGCAAATCAAAAAACACCAAAAAAAATTTTTTTTTTTTTAAACATAGCAACTCATGGTTAGTGACTGCCCAGTGTTGTACCAACAAATGCTTCCGAGGTGTAACCTAATTTAACCCTCACCACCCGACCACAGGCAACCTATCAGGATGGGTTTGGCTGCAGGTTAGAGAAAACCCGAGGACATCCCATTCTCTACCACAACTGAAGGTCAAAGGTGGGTAGCTCCACGGAGAATACAATTTGCTCTGTAACATCATTAAGGTTCCCATCCTGCCTGCTGCCTCCGGCAGGGAGGAAAGTACCGGTGGTTCTTCTCATTGTCCACAAGGCGGCAGCACACAGCGCCCGGATCACGTTTAAGGGGGAGGGCACCCAGGGGTATATAAAACCCCTGGCTGACGGCTGGTGAGACTAAGGCAGGGCCCCGTTCTCCTTCCTGAGCTTGACAGCAGGTTTATGCCATCATTGGCATAAACCACTCAAAACTCACTCTTTGGAGTTCTGTCACAGTCCAGACGGGTGGTCAAGCTACAAATGTGGATTTGGCATCCTGGAAAGTTCTAGAATGGAAACAGGAAGCCCTGCTAGGCAACTTATTCATGTCTTGAGGGACCTCGGGCTCTTTTGCTCCCAGAAACATTTTGAGCCCTTCAGTCTCACCGCCAGCGGCTGGTCATCGGGAACAGCGCCTGATCGCCTGCCTCCCAGGCTATAGGGGAGGACCACCTTCTGCCTCTGTCTGCACTGCCTCCTCTCCGCCCTCCTGTGTCTACCTGATGGGTAAAGGACCCTCTCTAGAAGGCCCCGTTTTCATCCCCCCAGACCAACCCGGAGAGCAGTTTCCTCTCCTGCTTCCTTTTCCTCCGCTGGGCCGCACGCCCAGAGACCGCCACCCTCTGGACAGACCCGCCCAGCGGCCCTCCAGCGCCAAAGCCGTTCCCCCACAGGGAGCGCACTCGTGAGGCCACTCGTTTCACTGGATCTCTGCAGGCGGCCTGGACCACTCTCTCACACCCGAGCCTCCGCGCATCCCCAAAATGTGCCAAGAACGCCTCCAAGGGCCAAAGATGAGCCACGGACGCCACCTCGGGTCCTGCCCATCGGGTCTTTCTTCAGATGCCGCTGCCGAAGCCAAATCTCGCCTCACCTCTAGACTGCCCAGCAGAGATCAAGACCCTTTGACGGACAGGATGAACTCTGAAGGGGTCTGCAAGCAAACGTTCGGTAAGGCAGGCCTGGGAGGGCCTAAGGGAGACGGAGCCCCCTCCCTGGTGGGACAGGAACAGGCCCCGCGGGTCCAGGAGGATGGCGGAGGCCGCGGCCAGGTTGCAGGTGGTCAGGAGCTGGCTCTGGACCAGCTACAGTGGCTCGAGGCCTGCCGGGAGAGCGTGGTGAGACCGGACCCCCCCCAGCCGGGACCCCGAGTGGACCTTGAGGGTGTCCCCGGCCCAGGGCTTCCACCCCTCCCAGCCTGCATCTCCTGGGCCTTTCCATCCCTTCCCGACGGCACCCCCTTCCCCGGAGCCTGGGAGGCAGGGGGATGGGGGCACCCGGACACCC